GCTCTGCTCTGTCTGCTCCACCCGCTGGGGAGAAACCCGGCCAGGCCGCTCCCCCGAGACAGCCCCGCCGCTGGGCCGGGCGCCGCGGGACCCGGGGGAAGTGGCGCCAGCGCGGCCCGCCCGGAGGTTGCACAAGCACAGCTGGTCCCGCGGGGGAAACGCCGCGGCCCTGAGTGTCCGGGCTCAATCTCACTGTGCTGTGACTTTCGTTTACAATGTGTGGGCGAGTAAGGTCAGATTCATTAAACCAAAACTCGGCACCTTTCGAGAGACAGGAGGATGATGTGGAAAGAGGCTGGGGGTCTGTGAAATGGCAAACGGCAAGGATGGAGGATGAACATGGAGCAAATGGTTGTTGTTCCCAAAGAACTTCGAAGTGACCCGGCAGGGAATGTGACACAAAGTGAGTGGGGAAGTGCCAGATCTGGGCTTCAGGACTTGGGGGACCCCACTGAAGGGTTCCCTGCCGCAGGGTAGATAAATTCCCACCAGGCTGACTTCTCCCCAGGCCAATGGTCCTGGGCAGCAGGTCCTTATGATGCCCAAAGTGACAAGGAAGAGGTCTGCAGCATGAGGGGGACCACAGACCACCTGGAAAAGAAGCTACAAGAGAGACCCCTGCTTCCATACAGCTGTTTTTCTCCCTTCAGGACTGCAGCAGGGGGGGTTGCAGTACCAACGATGGAGGTTAACCAAGGAAAAGCAAGACTACCGGGGATGTCTCTCCCACATGCCTTCAGTGGCAGCATGGAAAGGTGCAGGCAGGCCTCTGGGATGGCAGAGAGAAGCAGCTGCAGCTGAGAGTGATCATGGGTCACCACCACAGGGTTCCCAGGGGAACCCAAGGCAGAACTGAGCCATGCCTTAGCATCAGAGGGGCTATGCAAGGCTTAGGGATGTTCCTCTTGCTGCTGCTTTTCTCTTATAGGGGACAGGGAAGTAGGTGGTAGGAGAAAGCCAAAACCCACACCATTAATGAATGGAGGATTTGTCTCTGAGTCCTTTCCTCAGGGAAAGGTCAATCTGTGCTCCTGCAAAGGTAGGAAAATGGACATTAAATCTGATCCAGCGCAATCCCTGCTTCTACAGGTGATGCTTAGCATAGACTTTTCTTTATTCTCATCTCCCCACTCATCTCTAAGTTCACACAGACCCTCCTTTTAGAATTTCTAGAGGGTCCAGCCATGAATTTGGAAATATATCCTTGCAGGTTTAAAATAATTCTATTAATGGATTGCAAATGAAGGCCCTGGCTGAATATGTGTCAGTAGCTCTGTGTTGTGCCTGCGATGCAGAGTTATAAATGCAGTGCAGGTAGCTAATACAAGTGATAATACAGCACTTTCCCAGAGCTAAAGATGACATTTCTGGTTGATGCAGCATCTCTTTAAACAGCTGGAAGTTGCTGCATTCCCTGTAGACCTCTTCTCTGGGCTTCAGAGACCATTCTCCATCAAAGACCTAGACAGAAAGTCTGTCGTGCTTGTCCTCAGTAAAAGGCCTGCCTTGGCACAGTCTGCAGGAATATTTGGTGAAGAGTCAGAGATGAGAGCTTGTTGATGTCATGCTGGAGAGCAGGAAGAAGCCTGTGATTTTAAAAAGAGAAGAACCTGCAAGTTGTGAGTGCAGGCTGAGAAAGGGAAGGATGGATTGTGGGAGAAAACATTTGCATTTCTTGCTGTGAGCCAGTGCTGGATTTGCAGGCAGAGGATAAAATCTTTTCTAACAAAGATTGAACCCTTGTGATTCACTGGCTTAGACTTCAAAAACTAAATTTTGAGTGTGTGTTTCCAAGTGGAGATGGGAGCAGAGGGCACTGTCACTCTGCAAAAAAAATTATGAGAGAGCAGATTCTGTAAGAGGAAGCTCTGTCACAGCAGGGCATCTAGCTCAAGAACCATTCAGAGCCTGAAAGGGCAGAAAAAAATACATCCACCGTATGTCTAGGGGACAGATCAAACACCACGGCAGGCTTTGTCTCAGCACAGTTGAACTAAACATGCATTCAACATCCAGGTTACTCTTTGCTACCAGAGTGAGGCATGGAACCACTAAATGTGGCAAGGAACCTCTGGTGATCTCTGGTCCAGCCTCCCCACCCAAGGAAGACATCAATCTGTCACTCAACATGTAGTTCCATCTGCAGTTGACTCCCTTGGGGTAGAGATCACCCACCTCTCTGGGCCCCTGTTTTATCCCCTTCACAGGGCAATTTTTCTTCCTAACATCTAATTAGAACTTTCCTTCTTGCCACTTGTATTTGTTACCTCTCAGACTATCACTGCATCTCTGGGAAGTGGCTGGCTCTGTCTGGTGTACACCCTCTCATGAGGTAGATGAAAAAAGCAAGGAGGTGTCCATTTAGTCCTCCCCTGAAGACTTAAACCCAGTTTCTCTTCTCTACTTCTCCTATTTCATGTCCTTGAGCTCCCTTAATCATCTCGGTGGCCTTCACTGGGCTCATTCCAGCATATCAGTGCCTTTCCTGTGTTTGAGAGTATGAAACTGAACACAGTTACAGGCCTGACACAGAGACCCACCTGCTCTGGACACCGTTCTCAAGATATTCTGAACTGTCTCTTCTGTTAGGTCAACACTCCAAGATATAAGGCTCATGCTGATGGGATGGTAAAATAACATGTAATTCATGTGCTGGAACCTGAATTCAGGTTTCCTGAAGCTGTGGGACCCAAAAGTCCTCTTCCTTTCAGAGAAAGATTATTGAATCAAAAGTAGTATCTTTGTCCTGAGTAAACCTCAAGAGATTTTCCTTCCACAGGTTTATCAATGCCAAGGTGAGGGAGGAAGCATCTCTATTTTATTGATTTTATCTCCTGCCCCTGGTCTTGTTCTCCTTGTCCACCACAGCTGTGTAAACCCCAGTCATATTCTCTTCAGTTGTTCCTTCCAGACTGAAGAGTCCCAGTCTACGTCTATTCTTCTGGACCTCTGGTTATCCTTGCTGCCCTTCTGTGAGTTTTGGGGTTGATTTTTTTCAGGTCTACTGTATTTTGTTTGAGATGGATTATTCCCAAGTGGCATTAGTCCATGCAGAGCACACTGCTGCTTACAGAAAATAAGTCGCATGTTTCCCCTATGGATCATGCTGCCTTCATTGTTACACAATTTCATCTGCTATTTTACTGTCTGATGAGGGTGAGATCTTCAGCCAGCCCTCTGGGACCACCTTCTTTGCTTGTATTTCCATGTCTTATGAGGTCCATCTCCAACGCATTTGTGAAGTCCAAGTGTCCCCTCTGGTATCATAAATCCAGCTATTTACATTCCTGATAATGTCATCACCTGCCACAGTGACATGCAAAAAGCAAATAAGCTCCAATACCTACACCTGAGATGACAGAAGGATCCTTCAAAAACACTGCTCAAATGCAAGACTATACTGAGATCTGAGCTGAGGAAAGCATTTCACCGCTGCTTGAAAGGAAGAACTACAAGTCTGATCAGGCCACTGTCAACCAACTGGATAACTCAGATGTGAAGTGCTTAGGGCCACATCATAACTTCTGCAACCACAAAAAACAAATTTTTGACCCAGTAGACACTGCCTCTGACAGGTCAACAGGACACAAGAAGCTTTATATAAGTGAATTAGAGACTTAAGGGTTAAATTTGCCAAACCTATATGCCACTGATTAGTTGAACCTGTTAATTTTTTGTTCCAGGTGTTGTGTTGAACTAGAATGTGTCTCACCTAAGAAGAAGACTACAAGCTTTCCTTCAAGAAACCTCTGCCCATGACCACCGAGAGGCAGTGCGCATGCAGAAATGGGCATAGCTTTATGTTAATGACTTCAGGGAAATGATTTAACTATTATAATGAATTCAGGGAATTAATCTGTATCATCCTGCCTAATCTTTTGTTAAGTGATGCATATGTATATTTTAAGTGAATAAATATGTACTGTTCTTGTCTGTTGTGCGTGTTTGGAGGAGCGATCCCCTGCACACCCAGTGCTGCAATAAAGAACCTGCTTTATAGCTTCTCAGGGCTGTAGAGTATTTTCCTCACATCATAAGAGCAAAATTCACTCGAGGGTCCTGTGTTTGGATCTGGTGGTATCTTCAACCACTGCTATTCTAGACTGCATGTCTGAATCCCCCACAGTCACTGCCTCTCCCTGCAAACTTCTCCCCACCCTTCTGGTCCACAGGTGTCACTGCCCTCCTGTATGCCCAGGTCTGAACACCTGCTGGGCTTGGCAA